CAAACTTGCTACACAGCATAAGGACATCAATATGTATCAGAAAATGTAATAAAAATTTGGGGTGATTTTTTAGCCATTTTTTGGAAAAAACCATGGGCTATAGCCTTGGGTATTTTTCAGAATTTTGACGTTTTTTAAAATAGCCATAACTTGAAAAATTGAAGTCGGAATTGCCTCAAACTTGCTACACAGCATAAGGACATCAATATGTATCAAAAAATATAATAAAAATTTGGGGTGATTTTTTAGCCATTTTTTGGAAAAAACCATGGACTATAGCCTTGGGTATTTTTCAGAATTTTGACGTTTTTTTAAATAGCCGTAACTTGAAAAATTAAAGTCGGAATTGCCTCAAACTTGCTACACAGCATAAGAACATCAATATGTATCAGAAAATGTAATAAAAATTTGGGGTGATTTTTTAGCCATTTTTTGGAAAAAACCATGGGCTATAGTCTTGGGTATTTTTCAGAATTTTGACATTTTTTAAAATGGCCGTAACTTGAAAAATTGAAGTCGGAATCGCCTCAAACTGATTTTTTAGCCATTTTTTGGAAAAAACCATGGGCTATGGCCTTGGGTATTTTTCAGAATTTGGGCATTTTCTTAAAATGGCCGTAACTTGAAAAATTCAAGTTGAAATCACCTCAAACTTGCTACACAGCATAAGAACATCAATATGTATCAGAAAATGTAATAAAAATTTGGGGTGATTTTTTAGCCATTTTTTGGAAAAAACTATGGGCTATGGCCTTGGGTATTTTTCAGAATTTTGACGCTTTCTTAAAATGGCCGTAACTTGAAAAATTCAAGTTGGAATCACCTCAAACTTGCTACACAGCATAAGAACATCAATATGTATCAGAAAATGTAATAAAAATTTGGGGTGATTTTTTAGCCATTTTTTGGAAAAAACCATGGGCTATAGTCTTGGGTATTTTTCAGAATTTGGGCATTTTCTTAAAATGGCCGTAACTTGAAAAATTGAAGTCGGAATCGCCTCAAACTTGCTACACAGCATAAGGACATCAATATGTATCAGAAAATGTAATAAAAATTTGGGGTGATTTTTTAGCCATTTTTTGGAAAAAACCATGGGCTATAGCCTTGGGTATTTTTCAGAATTTTGACGTTTTTTAAAATAGCCATAACTTGAAAAATTGAAGTCGGAATTGCCTCAAACTTGCTACACAGCATAAGAACATCAATATGTATCAAAAAATATAATAAAAATTTGGGGTGATTTTTTAGCCATTTTTTGGAAAAAACCATGGACTATAGCCTTGGGTATTTTTCAGAATTTTGACGTTTTTTTAAATAGCCGTAACTTGAAAAATTAAAGTCGGAATTGCCTCAAACTTGCTACACAGCATAAGAACATCAATATGTATCAGAAAATGTAATAAAAATTTGGGGTGATTTTTTAGCCATTTTTTGGAAAAAACTATGGGCTATGGCCTTGGGTATTTTTCAGAATTTTGACGCTTTCTTAAAATGGCCGTAACTTGAAAAATTCAAGTTGGAATCACCTCAAACTTGCTACACAGCATAAGAACATCAATATGTATCAGAAAATGTAATAAAAATTTGGGGTGATTTTTTAGCCATTTTTTGGAAAAAACCATGGGCTATAGTCTTGGGTATTTTTCAGAATTTTGACATTTTTTAAAATGGCCGTAACTTGAAAAATTGAAGTCGGAATCGCCTCAAACTGATTTTTTAGCCATTTTTTGGAAAAAACCATGGGCTATGGCCTTGGGTATTTTTCAGAATTTGGGCATTTTCTTAAAATGGCCGTAACTTGAAAAATTCAAGTTGAAATCACCTCAAACTTGCTACACAGCATAAGAACATCAATATGTATCAGAAAATGTAATAAAAATTTGGGGTGATTTTTTAGCCATTTTTTGGAAAAAACTATGGGCTATGGCCTTGGGTATTTTTCAGAATTTTGACGCTTTCTTAAAATGGCCGTAACTTGAAAAATTCAAGTTGGAATCACCTCAAACTTGCTACACAGCATAAGAACATCAATATGTATCAGAAAATGTAATAAAAATTTGGGGTGATTTTTTAGCCATTTTTTGGAAAAAACCATGGGCTATAGTCTTGGGTATTTTTCAGAATTTTGACATTTTTTAAAATGGCCGTAACTTGAAAAATTGAAGTCGGAATCGCCTCAAACTGATTTTTTAG